TGGCACCTTAAAGACTAACAGATTTATTTGGGCATAAGCTTTCGTGGGTAAAACCTACACTTTACTCACGAAAGCTTATGCCCAAATAAATCTGTTAGTCTTTAAGGTGCCACCAGACTCCTTGTTGTTTTTGTAGATACAGACTAACACGGCTACCCCCTGATACTTTAGGCCCAATACAAATCCTTACTAGTCTTTTACTCAAGTCCACTCCCATCTCATCCAGTAAAGACTGTTCTCCCCAGAATCTCTACCCTTAGGAAATGGCAGTAGGAAGAAGAAAAAAAAGACATTGAAAATATCTCCCCTTTTCTCAAATATTTGTAAGGGATACACTACCAGTCAAGCACTTACGTTATTTGGAGCAAATCCTGTCCCTAGAAAACAGCCATGCTGTGCACTGAGGCAGGTAGGGGAGAGAGAATGACCACTCCATAACCAACGAGGTAGTTGTGTAGCTCATCTAGATAATACTTTGTCCTGCCATGAGAGCAGGGGATTCCCTTCCAAGCCTATGAAATACCAGTCCCACCACTCTTGCCCTCCCCTAAACTTATCTGTGCAGTGAAATGCAGGAAGCACCCACAGAAGACAGATCCACAGCATGCTCCCACCAGAAAGATATTGCAGTGGTTCTGCTGTGTTCAGGTGTGTCTGCGTTAATTTGAGAGGTGAAAGCAGGATTTGGCTTTTTACCTCTTCAGTTCTCTCATCTTTCTCTCCCTACCCCAACGGGGAGAGTCAAATCTCGCTGGACACACTGAATGCCAAAATCACTTCTACACTTTAAGCACACTGATCTGAGCAGTGAAACTCATGAAAGGTGCAGTTTCTTAGCTTGCAGGAGAATGTTCCCCCATGAGCTTCCTCTGTGTTGTTTTGCAACTACTTCCCCATTGACAAACTGGAAAAAAAAATCAGTTGGTGAATAGCAGTATTCATATTTGTCCATTACCATAGCAGACATATATGTTAATCAGCTGTTATGACCCATCTTTTATTATATGCAGCCTTTTGAACCACTGGTTTTGAAATCTGTTACTTGTAAAAACTTCCATTAAAAAAATAAGTTTACTGTAAATGAATTGTCTAAGTCATAAAATAGCCTACTTACTTAATACTTATACTCTGGCTCCAGCATACATGCTTACTTTGGAGACAGAAGCTGATATGGTAAAATGGACCTACTCCCAAGACTGTTAATTGTGCTCTCCCTTGGATATGCTTCATGAAGATCTAGCAGATGGGCCTTTAGGACTCCTCCTATGAGCAGGATAGGGGGTCTGTATTGTAAAACAATGGGTGGTTCTTATTTCTTAGCTCCACACCACCACCTACAAACTCTTACTATAAAGATGACTCACTAAACTTTTTAGAATAGAGTTTGCTAGAGCTACAGAATAGAAGCGATGTTCACACCTTTCTAGCATAGTAGTTTGTAGACAGACTGTTCTTGGAAGGCCAAAAGATGCCAACAACATTAAACTTTTCCATAGAGGGCACGACTGGTGCTTGTAATCAGTGCATCTCTTGTAGATATTGAGGCATAGCGTAAGGTATCCTTTCCAGAGTTTACTATTAAGCAATTATACATTTAAATAAAGGCACTTATCACCATAGCACAGAATCTGCAGTATCAAACCATTTGCCTGGATCACCAGAGATTTCTAGGTGTTCTCCCACCAGCATCAGCATGTCAACACAGACTTCTATACTCACTGCCCAAATGGGTCCACTGCTGCTATTTGTACAAGACTAATAAAACAGTTTTTGGTAGGTGTTGGTGTTGATTATTAGTCCTTAAGTTGAGTTAGGACCAGGCAGAGGACAGATCTTTTAGTGGAATTCCCTTGCAGAATGAGATCACCAAGTTTCTTACACAGACTGACTTTAGCAGCTGGCCCAGTAGCCAATTTTGTAAGTCTCCTACATCTACTTATATTTTCCTCACCCCTTAACAGCCTTCAGCCAAAACACCCCAGCTATCTGGCTGTGTACTTTCTTTAGATTCTAGTGGTGTATTTTATTGTATGACAGATCTCACAAAAGGGATTCTATAAAATAAAAATATATGTACAACTTTCAGCCAGATGCTGATAAGTGAATGTATGTTAGTGTTCTTGGCTGAATTCTGATGTTAGGTAGCCATTTTATAATCCTGCCATCTGCATTCACTGGAACACCAGTGTACGCTCTCCCCATTAGTTTGAGTTAAATGCACTTAGATTTTTATGACCCCACCTGCGATTCAAGAAATTTACTTTTGCTTTTACTGTAACAAACATTAAATACAACAGCAGACAGACATAAAACCAGAGTTAATAGCAACTTTATTGTTTCAATGGTGCAAAATCATGATACTGAATAAACTTGTGTAATGCATTTTTCCCTAAATTTACAATGGTTATACATATACACTATATAGATCACAATTTCTCTATTTTTTTATACTATCTGGAACAAAATTATCTTGATAAATATGCCCTGTGCACAGTACTGGCCCTCACTGAATGTCACAGAGCCCTAATATGCAAAATATAACTTTTGTTTCTGAGCATGGTGTTTTAAAACTCTCCAAACATGCATTAATATATTCTAGTTTTTAGGGAAAATATTACACTTAGACTTAACTTGCACTAAAAGAAAAGCTCAAGCAGAATCCAACAAACAATAGCCCCCAAAATCAAACGCTCCATTAAAGAAAAAAAAAATATCAGATCACTTTGAGATGGATAGCCACTGCCAGGTTAGAGTTCCATAGTGCTACAGAAGCGACAGTGAACATGACAGAAAAGACAGGTCAGAACATGGAATAAAAGAGCCCTCACATGTCACATGAATTTTAAAGAAACAGGTCCAGTCATGCTAACATGATCAAATCTATAGTTGCTGGTCCAATCTGAACACCTTTTAAATTTGTTAACATATTGAACGCAAGTGTTTGGAAGTGCTGAACTGAACGCATCACATTTAAATGAATTGTAACCTAACTTGGCATTTCTGAAAGGCACAGTCTATTAAATCTATCATAATAAAAAGACATACTGTGTGTAAATGGAAAGACAGAAATAAGTACAGTGTGTGCATGTCTGTGCAAGTGTGTCTTCTTTAAAGGACAAGACCTTCGTAAATTGGCCCTTCAGATTCTGGTGATTCCCTCCTCAAACGCAGGTGCTCCAGTGTGTTATGAAAATGTTTGTTAATTTGTTCCGTTTCTTCAGTAGATTCAAGGTTTGGAAGGTCTTCTCGTATCTTTTGTATGAGCTGATTCAAAACCTGAATTGTCACCTACAATAAATATATAAATAGTAAATTCTACTATTAAATAACTGAGCACATTTAATAGAGATCCGAGTTCTTTTCACCCACAGACCTTGCCTCCAAGTAAGTGCAGTTAGGGCACAAGAGAGCTAGTCTTGTAGCTCTACCACAGGCTTGTGAGAATGATTTTGTACCTCCATTTACCCATCTTTAAAATAGGTACAATGCTTCTTACCTCACAAAAGTCTGCAAAGACTAATTCAGCAACATTAAAACACTTCAAAATCCCTTGTAAAAAATTATAGTGGCAAGTTTATTCATTTCTATTCGCTTTTCTAATAACCTTAGAATTAGAGCAGCTTCCATTGTAGAGAAAGCAGTCCCCGAAGTCTGGGATTTTCAATGGCACTTAAAGGAGTCTGGCATCCAACTCACTGGAATTCAATGGGAATTGAGCATCCTTAGGCTCATCCAAAAACCCACCCTAAACTTTACGTAAAGTAAAAGCCATACACAGGGAATCATTTCATCCACTATTAAGTGCAGCTGCTTCTGGGGTGAAGCACAGCAACTATTTAACAAGACAGTACTACAGAACAGAAATCCTGAAATCTACTGGATTTAGCAGATCATTGTAGTCAGATGTAAGAGAATTGATTTTCACAGCAGGATCTACTGAGAGCGTCAACGCAGTT